TCACTTTAACTTAGAAATTTTTGTTTTTCACCATGGATTTTGGGATGTCCGAAAATTGTAATTTTTTTATGAAAATGTTTGAAGGAAACCCACGGTGAAAAGTTTCTTACCAAATAATCTTGTTTTAGGAGTCAGATTTTTTATTTAGTAATTTATTTGGACTTTATTTGGATTTTCGTAGAATTTTCAAATGGCTCCCCGAGTTCAGTGAGGAAGACCGACTGAAGTCTTCGATGCTTGACGATTCGTTAGTTTTAAAGCCCAACATAGTTACAATACTCAAATGGAAAACAAAAGAATGATCCAAGAACGGGCATTTGCAAACTCGGGTGGCAAGGTCGAGAGACTGATCCTTACTCAAAACTGGGAAAGGTTCTGCTACTTCACTGCCGTAGCAATTTTCCCGATGGTCCGGGAATTCTATGCAAACCTGAGATTCACTTGGGATGATCACATCTTGGTGAGAGGTAAGCTGGTTGAGTTTTCTTCTGAAAGGATCAATTCATTTTATGGGCTTAGAAACATATATCATGACGAGTATGCTGCATTTGTTATTACTGATTCATCACTAGAGGAAGTGATTGCATTTTTTACTGATGAAAGAGGGGAGTGGAAGATTAAGAATAACAAGATAGTTAACTTCTCTGCTTTCATGCTAACTATTTAGCAAAAGTATGGCACCACTTCATTTCTGTCAGACTGTTGTCAACAAATCATTTGACTGATGTTACAAAGATAGAGTTGTACTCAATTATTGCATTCAGAACATGAAGACAATAGATGTTGGTGCACTTATAGTTCAACATGCTCGAAGTATAGTTGGTAGTTCGACAACTGGAGGTTTGGGATATACTGCCTTGATTTTCACTTTATGTGAACAATCAGAAGTAGAATCTCATAGAAATGAAGAGATATTGCAGGCACAGAACGCCATAAAATCCGATTGGGAGACACATGATTCAGAGAGTAGAATCATTTGTTGAGTCTAGAAGTGGAAGAAGGGATATGACCTATACATCTGTTGCAGGGGCATCTGCTTCTAGATCTACATCATTAGAAGGTATTATGGACCAACTCTTGATTCAATAAATGAACATAGTAGATATTCAAACTCAGTTGGGAGAGATGGGAGCAAGGAATGCATATAATGATGAATATCAACAGAGGAGATTTTAGCATGATATTGAGTTTGAAAATGTCATGGTAAGACATCTTAGGGGTGAATCTAATGTGGACTTTCCTGCTTGCTCCAGTTTCACTTCCTATACTCCCATTGATGATGATGAAGAAGAAGAAGAAGAATCAAATGATGAAGTGGAAGGAGATGAAGATTGATGTTTTATGAGTCTTGTTTAGTTGTTTTGTTGTTTATGTTTGTATTGGGATGTACTTTTATTTGAGAAACTTGTTGTAGTAAAAGACTTTTTATGTTGTGTTATGGACTTGCAGTTTGTAATAGTAATTATAAACTTTTACTTTTTCTGCATTTTTAATATTTTCAGTTTAGTTTCTCAGTTTTTGTATTTATGTTTTTAATTCTCAGCAAGTTCTCTAGAATATGTTATGTTTTATTTAATGTTTTAAAGCTTGTATGTAGTTTTACAGTTAGTACCTACAGTATACTAGAACCCAGTTTCATATTCAAAAATCCTATAACATGGCAGTTTTTATTTTCATGCATTTACGCTTTTCTTTCACCTACTAAATTTTACACTAAAAATATTTTAAAATCACCTAAAAACTTAAGTTTGGGGGAAAGAAAAATTTATTTTAAAAAAGGAATAAATTAAATTTTATTTGTCCTTAAGTAACTATATTTTTAAAATTAATTTAACATGGTCTGAAATATTAAGATTTAACTTTAAATGACTATACTTATGTTTATAAATATTGTGGTAAATTTAGGTAAAAAATTTTTAATAATGAAGATCAATTTTAAAGTTAAAGATATTTAGTATGATAGGATAAAGCTATGTTTTTCTATTTAAATTAAAGGAAATTATATTTTTGAAATATTAAGAATTTTAGAATTTCATGTGAGAAGAAAAAAATGAGACTTTATAAAAAATTATAAACTAATATGAATTTATAAAGTGAAGAAAGGTAAGGAGTTTTAACTTTAAGAAGTGGATAGTAAAGTTCAAAATTATTAAAGGCTATCCAGATATGGTAATTCTCACTTGAAAAAAAAATGAAAGGATTGAAGAGATCCTAAAAGAAAAGATAAGAAAAATAAGTGAGGAGATGCCTAATCAAAAATTTGCTTCACTTGAATCAACTTAAGGAATGGGCTTTAATACATTTTCTAAACTTGTATTAGATTATTAGTAGCATTCCTAGTAATGTTTTCACGAAGTTCTTTTTCATATGAATGTTCTAAATGTCCTTAATATGACAAATTGCAATTCTTCTTGAAATGAATAAATGTTCAGAAATCTTAAATTTGATTACTAAGTATTCCTAGATTTAGAGTTTGAATCTAAGTTATTTAAGGGTTTTTCTTAACTTTTGTTACTTTATTTATTAAACTAAAGTATAGAAGTTGTAAGTTAATCTTTATCCTAAGTCATATGTTTTTATGTAATAAAAAGTGTTACTTGAAGACAAGTAATCTTTAAGTTTGAGGGATTTTGATATATCAAAATAATATACTGTTTTAAGTACATATTTTATGTTTATTTCTGGTGATATTGCACTTTAAAGAAGGGTATTTTTGTATTTTTTTTTGTAGATATATCATTTTTAGGCATTGGGAGCAAAAATGGCAAAAAAAACGAAATTTGGAGCAAAAAGAGCCAATTTTGGATTCTGGCGCATCATGCGCCAAAATCCAGAGTTAGCGCATGATACGCCAGGGGTGACTTTTTCAAATTAAGGCAGTTCGAGATAAATTTTTGCGTGAATTTCAAAAGGACACTTGTTTTACACACTTCTATGAGTAATTCAATGCATCTAGACACTTTCGAAGGTTCTTTTATGAAGGCATATGACTCTTGATCAAATGACACATCTTTTGAATTCAAAAAGTTGACTTTTGGAGGGAATTTTGAATTTTTTTTCAGAGGAGGCAGCTCAAAATAAAAGAAGATGATTTCTCATTTTGTATGTTGACGTGACGGAGAGAGAGAGAAAGTAGCGTGAGATAGAGAGAGAAAGGAGGAAATTTTTTTCTAGGGTTGTAAGAGGAGAGATAAGGTGAGAGATTTCTTCTTCATTACATTTCTAAGAGAGAATTGTGAGTGATTGTAAAGAGTGAAAAGCTTGAAAAGAACTTATAGGGATTTACTTGGAAATGATTATGAGATAAGTTGTATTTTTATTTCTTTTGTTTTGTAAACTTGTTTTTATATATGAAATTCGTGTTTTATCGTATTTTTCTCAATTTTTTAACAATCCATATACTCATTGTAAAAAGGAATGATGTTTTCTTAAATTTAAACTTTCTGTCACAACAAAAAAAATTTTATTTAATTTTCTCAATTTTATTTTTGAAAGTATAGCATTTAATTTAGTTTAATTTCTGTAGTTTTACATCTGCATTTTAATTAGCATTCACTTGAGTAGTTAATTTTCAAATTTCGCACTTTATTTTTATTTTTTTGTTTTTATTATAAAATAATTTTCATAATTTACTTTAAGGATTTTACAACTTTTCTGTGAGATCAATATCTAGGATTTCATTAGAGCCCTTTATTACTTGAATGATGCGTATACTTGCGTTGATATTAAAAGAGATTTGACAGTTTTAAAAAGAGTTTTAAAAGATAAATTATTTTCATAAAAAATATTTTTGTTAAGATTACATTGCATATTTATTATATATTTGTCTGCATCAAGGTTTTGGCGTCGTTGAGTGGTGTCAACTTCATAAATATTTGCATATATACAAATCTCGTGTCACCTCACTAAAGGACTTAGTTCATTAGATTTGTCTAGATTATGTGACAAGATGGGCTTTGTGGATATTTTTTGCCCTTCTTGAGGGGAAGTGTTGAGATTTGTATCTTATTTTGAGGGTCTACTTGTAAATAGGAAATATAAAAGAAGTCCAGGTGTTATTTGTAAAAGGATTATATGGTTCTATAGAAGCCTAACTCATGAATGAAGGAAAAAAAAATTTTACCTGATTAATAATTTCTTCACATCACACAAGCAAATGCAGTCATCAAAGCATATTGCATTCGAGATGGAGATGAGGATCTCATGAGGGAGATTATAGTAGAGCACAGGTGGGTCTCAAATTGAGGGAAGTTGAGAGCAAGCAAAAGAAAATTTGATCTTATAGGAATGCATCATCGAGTCAAATCCTCCAAATTTGGTGAACTTGATGCTTCATTGGGGAAAGAACTCTTCAACCTCAATCTGCTTTACATTTTTGGATGTGTTTTTTACATCAAAAGAGGATTGGAAATGAATACCTTTTTACTTGGTTGTAATAACTGCCTCTTTACTTGGTTGTCTTCAGAAAACAAATATATGTTCTTTTATAGAAGCAAAGGAGTACATAAAAAATAACAGCAACAACAACAAACCTTTATTCCACTAAGTGGGTCGGCTACATGAATCATTTCTCCTTTACACTTATTAAGTGTCATATTTTCATTTAATTCTAACAGGACCAAAGGATTAGAACACTTTGAAAAAACAACAATGAAGAAGAATTTTCCAAGAAGAAATTCTAACAATAATAAACAATAAAATCCTATTATAAATAATTAAGATATGTGATAATTTAGATATATTAATATTAGTCATATGAGAGGATTTCAAGTAACTTTGGCATGTACTCCTGTAATAATTGCCCTTGTTTCAAAAATTATGATAAATTGTTGTTCTTACATTCAGACATGAAAAGATATTAGTTCTTTCACAAAATGAACTATAGGAAGTTTTATACCAATCTCTCTTTTTTATATTTGACAAATCATTCCAGTGACATTTTTGTAATCATGCAATTATCTTTTTTGTAGAATTTTACTGCATATGTTATTTTGCTGTAGTTGTTGAGAATGGAGAGAATTGGAGCGTTGGTCAGCGCCAGCTATTTTGCCTTGGCAGGGTCTTGCTTCGAAAGAGTAAAATCCTTGTTCTTGATGAAGCCACAGCTTCTGTAGATTCTGCAACAGACAGTCTAATTCACGTTGCTCTTAAGCAATATTTTCCTAACTCCACAATCATCGTAATAGCTCATCGGATAGCAACAGTTCTTGACAGTGACATGGTTTTGCTGCTTGATAATGGTAAATTATTATTATGAAATTTGGAATTTGTTTATTTTTAGTTCATTTTTTATTGAGAAACTTCTGGGTGATGTTTGACAATAATGAAATTTAAATTATTTGGATTTAATAAGATTTAGTAAATCCTGAATGGGTTAAATTTCAAAAACTATTTGACAACGGATTTTATAAATCCTGTAAATCCATTAAAAATTTCTGACAATATCTGCTCTATTCCATTCTTACCATCTTAAATCCATAGCCGGCGAACTTAAATCCACTGATTCGCAGGATTTACTATATTTGGGATTTACGGGAGATTGATAGATTCTTCATCAAGGAAAAGCTAAATTCCGGGCTACTGGAGCTAAGTCATGTAACCACTGTAGAGCAAATAGTTGGTTGTCTCATGATACACCAAAATAATATAATATTTTAAGTACCTATTTTATGCTCATTTTTTGTGATATTACATTTTAAAGAATTATATTTTTGTGTTTTTGTTGCAGGTATATCATTTTTAGGTATTTGGAGCAAAAATGACATAAAGGACGAAATTTAGAGCAAAAAGAGCCAATTTTGGATTCTAGCGCATCATGCGCCACAATTCAAATTTCGCACTTTATTTTTATTTTTTTGTTTTTATTATAAAATAATTTTCATAATTTACTTTAAGGATTTTACAACTTTCCTGTGATTTTACAACTTTTCTGTGAGATCAATATCTAGGATTTCATTAGAGCCCTTTATTACTTGAACTTTATGTATACTTGCGTTGATAATAAAAGAGATTTGTCAATTTTAAAAAAAAGTTTTAAAAGAAAATTTATTTTCATAAAAAGTATTTCTTTTAAGAATATTTTGCATATTTATTATATATCTGTGTGCATCAAGTTTTTTGCATCATTTAGGGGTGTCAACTTCATAAATATTTGCATATATACAAATCTCGTGTCAGTTTTTGGCGTTGTTTAAGGGGAAGTAATGGAAAATATTAGTATTTTATTTTAGTTTGTTTTAAAAAGATAAAAAAAAGAGTGTGTAGTTTAATTTTAACATTTTCTTATTTTAGTGTGTTTGCTTATTTTTAATTACTTGATTTATTCAATTTATGCGTAGTTTAAGATTTGAAATTTTAGTACCTTACGACTCTAAGTTAGAAAGAGCTGTTAGAAAAATTTAGAAACAAAAAAAGAGAAAGATCAGTTTAGCAAAATGGCTTGCAATTTAAATAATGTTAGAAATGAAAATGAACATCATCAGAGACCTTCAAGAGATTATGCAAGTACTACAACAATTGAAATTCATTTGAGTATCTAAAACCCTGTTGTAGCTGCCAATTCATTTGAATTTAAGTCAAATCCTCCAAATTTGGTGAACTTGATGCTTCATTGGGGAAAGAACTCTTCAACCTCAATCTGCTTTACATTTTTGGATGTGTTTTTTACATCAAAAGAGGATTGGAAATGAATACCTTTTTACTTGGTTGTAATAACTGCCTCTTTACTTGGTTGTCTTCAGAAAACAAATATATGTTCTTTTATAGAAGCAAAGGAGTACATAAAAAATAACAGCAACAACAACAAACCTTTATTCCACTAAGTGGGTCGGCTACATGAATCATTTCTCCTTTACACTTATTAAGTGTCATATTTTCATTTAATTCTAACAGGACCAAAGGATTAGAACACTTTGAAAAAACAACAATGAAGAAGAATTTTCCAAGAAGAAATTCTAACAATAATAAACAATAAAATCCTATTATAAATAATTAAGATATGTGATAATTTAGATATATTAATATTAGTCATATGAGAGGATTTCAAGTAACTTTGGCATGTACTCCTGTAATAATTGCCCTTGTTTCAAAAATTATGATAAATTGTTGTTCTTACATTCAGACATGAAAAGATATTAGTTCTTTCACAAAATGAACTATAGGAAGTTTTATACCAATCTCTCTTTTTTATATTTGACAAATCATTCCAGTGACATTTTTGTAATCATGCAATTATCTTTTTTGTAGAATTTTACTGCATATGTTATTTTGCTGTAGTTGTTGAGAATGGAGAGAATTGGAGCGTTGGTCAGCGCCAGCTATTTTGCCTTGGCAGGGTCTTGCTTCGAAAGAGTAAAATCCTTGTTCTTGATGAAGCCACAGCTTCTGTAGATTCTGCAACAGACAGTCTAATTCACGTTGCTCTTAAGCAATATTTTCCTAACTCCACAATCATCGTAATAGCTCATCGGATAGCAACAGTTCTTGACAGTGACATGGTTTTGCTGCTTGATAATGGTAAATTATTATTATGAAATTTGGAATTTGTTTATTTTTAGTTCATTTTTTATTGAGAAACTTCTGGGTGATGTTTGACAATAATGAAATTTAAATTATTTGGATTTAATAAGATTTAGTAAATCCTGAATGGGTTAAATTTCAAAAACTATTTGACAACGGATTTTATAAATCCTGTAAATCCATTAAAAATTTCTGACAATATCTGCTCTATTCCATTCTTACCATCTTAAATCCATAGCCGGCGAACTTAAATCCACTGATTCGCAGGATTTACTATATTTGGGATTTACGGAAGAAATTCGTGAAATCCAAATTTATTGCATCCCTTATTCTGTCCAAAATGATCATCTGTCAAGATTGCGCATACATCCTGCATAAACTCGTACCTAAATCCATTGTCAGACAGCCCTCCAATGACACAGAATCTCATTTTTTTTTAATTCTATGCAGGCAGTGCTGTTGAGTATGACTCTCCACTCAACCTGTTAGATAACAAGGTTTCAGCATTCTCGAAGCTCGTTGCCGAGTATGCTTCAAGAATGACAGTATGATGTTCTGTTGCTTGAAGTTGCTTACTTTTAAAGCTCCATCCATGTCAAGTTTTTCAAAGTTACTTGTAGATGAGCTAGAGGTTTTCCTTGAGCTATTATAAATAGTGTCTTCAATAGTGCACAAAACCATCTCCATTTTAATTATCTTTTTGATGAGGAAAATTATCAAAACAAAATACTTGGAGTAGTTTTCTTGGGAAGTGTTTTGCGAGGTCACAGTACTTTGCCACTTCGGAGGTTGATCTCTAAAACTTATGTTGTAGTTGTCGTGAAGATTCTATCCCAATTTTAATAGGTATTTCCAAAAATTGAGAATAGGCGCATCACTATCGAAAAAAAATTGGTATTTGGGTAAGCATCTTCAATGGAGGAAACTGGCAACTTTGTCTTGTCTAGTACAACACTGAAAGAAAATAAATGTCAAGAAAATTGTATTCCATGCTCCTTGCTGTAACATTGTATTTTCTGAATAAATTTGTTTGATGGTGACATTTTCGCACAGAAAAAATAAGAAGCTTAAGCTTCAGAACATATTATTTACAGGTTCTCCAAGTAATTAAACGGCTCAGTATTTTCTGAATAAATTTGTTTGATGGTGACATTTTTGCAGAGAAAAAATAGGAAGCTTAAGCTTCAGAACATATTCCAAGTAATTAAACGGCTCATCTACTAACAAGTAGTTAAAAGCCTCACATGAGCTCACGCCCCCATGTTTATTGCATTTAGGATACAAAGCCCCAGATTAGTCTTAATTTAGGGTGTTTATTCAATTTTTCTTAAGGGCTTGGTGCATATAAAAGTTGTTTTACGAAAGATTTTTTATCCCAATGAAAGAATGGCCCAAATGTCCACTCATCATGCAAAGGATAATACAACCCAGCAGACAACAAACAACATAAATGGGTGAAGTCGTGGAGAGAAAACACATCATGCTTAGTACTTCATGTGGAGGGATTTCATCAAATGAAATGAATATGCATTTTTATATTTCTTAGATGGAAGCTCACTCAATAATGAGAACTAAAACATTGTAAGAACAATGATAATCTTGAAGGTAAATCTGAGAAGATTAAACCTACTAGCCTAGTTTAACCTGATAGCTTAAATATATAATAAATCCTTTGATGAGACTTATAACTTGCTTGCCAATGACTGTTAAAACGCTGTATTTGGTTTTACAATTCTATTTGGTAATGAACGATAGCTATATATGATAATAAAGTCTAGTTTTTACTCAAATGTAAGATAAGGTTGATATAATATATATGAAGGATCTTATAATCCTGTCACTAAAGTAAAGGTAGCCCAACCATGAATAAATTTGCTATGCTATTACTCATTTAGTCTTAAGTGAGTTGTGATATGAGGGTTCACTTGGTTACATATAGATGTGTGTCAATTTGAGATCATCATTGGCTTTAAGGATCATACATTCAATGAATAGGATAATCAACTGAATGCTGACAACACATCTATGATCTACTAAAGATGTGCATTAATTATTTTACAAGTGGCATTCAATAAGCCATAAATTAATTTTGGAAAAAGAAATTCTATTGTAGCTTTTAGATCATTTAATTGTTAATGTTGAAAAAAAATTAACATTCTAAAAGCTATTGAGTGATTGGCATTAATTCTATATTTTGTGACAATAAATTGATGGGACAATAATTTGAAGAAGTTTGAAAAAAGCAACTGCGGCGCCAGAAGCACAGTACTGCAGCACCTAAAGCATTGTAAGAACCATGAACAAGCACAGTGCTGCAACTTGAGCATTGCAACTCTAATTTTGAGCACAATAGTGCCAGAGATTCAACATCAGAGTGCAGGATTAACAACACCACAACACTAGAGGATATAAAATTAGGACAAAAACTCATATGGCACCACAATATCACATTCCAGTGTCGGAGCATTGTCATACTAGCATCACAATGCTAATCAAGCAACGCCGCAATGTTGTAACATGAAGAAAAACATGCCAGAAATCCGAGAGATCGGTGTCCCAATGCCGTTTTGGAGCGCCGCAACACTACACCAATAGTTTGACAACACTAGTTCATGCTGTTGCGGTATGACGAACCCAAAAAAATAGTTTTCGTTGAAAGTCAAATGTGATCTAGTGATTTTGACAAAAAGTTAGTGGAACTATATGGTTAACAATTTATCTTGGAGAATATAGGTATATAACTTTTGGAAAACTACAATCTTGTGAGAAATAAAATTTATGGAATCTTTTGTATTAATTAGGATAGGAGTATCACTAATCATTATTATGAAGTTTCATTGTCTCTTAACTCTAAATGGAGATTAAAAGATGAATGTGTTCTCAATTACCAGTAAAAAAACATCACACAGTTGCATAAAACCTTTAGATATTCATAAATTCAAAGAAAACACTTCATTTGAAAAACTTATATTTCACATTATAGAGAATATAATATCAAATTACCCTTTTAAAACAATTATGATAAATATGATAAATAAAAATAGTATTCTCCTGATGTTAACACTGGCAAAGGATGAAGAATAAGTATTTTCATTTACACATGTAAAGAGAATTTCAACATAAAAGTTTTACACCAAATAAATGAAAAAAAAAGGGGGCTACATGCAGGCCACCCGAAACTTGATATTTACAAACCAACCACTCTCTTCCATCCCCGAAACTTGATATTTACAAATCAACCACTCTCTTCCGTCCCTTTTTTTTCAAATTCTTACTCAAATATCAAAATTTATAGTAAAACCCCAACCCATGTTCTTCTTTTTTATCAAATTCTCAATAATTTGATCATGGCAAGCGTAAATACATCAGTTTGGTAGTTCACCCTGATGGTTAATTTGTAAATATCAATGTTTCAGTCTGTATTTAATCATCCCAAAAAAGGGATGCATGATATATTATCATTCCAAGTGAAAGCAAAATCCCAGCGGAAAAAATGCAAAAAAAAAAAGGGTGCTTCAAGCTGGAAGATATATTTAGATCGTATCAGCAGAGGTAACAATGTAATACAGAGATTATGAAACTGAAGGCAGAAACGGCAAAATTAGATATATTTTATCTTCACATCAGCTGAAAATGAAAGCTGAAGAACTTTAAAGTACATAATAAAAAGTGGCACAGTAAACTCATGCTATCTACAAGCCATTAGGCTCATCATAACTAGAACTTGATCTCATTGAATATTCTGCAACCAGTTTTGCAAAGAAGGATGACTTGTTTTCCAGTAATCTTGTCGGCGTATCGTGTTCAATTATCAATCCTGCACATGGTAATTTGATTCAACCATTAACAAATCTGAAAAAACACAGCAATAGAACTATGAATGAATTGAATTTAGATTTGATTCATCAATGTCTCAAGCTATGCTATGGCCTGATCTTTGATGCTATCATATCTTGCCTTGATCTGAACTTGTTCTGAGCCAGTTTTAAGTTATCAAATTCATCCATGAAAGCAAATGCTACTAAATGGATTCATGCAAACTATGACATGCTCTCAAACAATTGTTAATGTTGGGGTGAAATTTGAAATAATAAATATAAAATTACATGGAATGAAAACTAACCATTGTCAAGGAGTAAAACCATATCACTGTCTAAAACTGATGTTATCCGATGTGCTATCGTGATTACGGTTGAATCCGAGAATTGCTGCCTCAATGTCTTCTGGATCAGGCTATCGGTGGCAGTGTCGACGGAAGCAGTTGCTTCATCAAGCACCAAAACCTTGCTTCTTTTCAGAATGACTCGCGCGAGGCAAACCAGCTGACGTTGGCCCACACTCCAATTATCACCATTTTCAGCAACTATATTTTCAAATTTATTAATAGTAAATTATCAAAATAACCAAATAAAAAAAATGATTTTTTTTTAGAATGATAATCTTAGCAACTCACCTATTGAGTCGAGCTTATTTTCTTTCTTTCGAACTTCGTCTCCAAGTTGACAACAATCCAGGGCCTGAAACACAAAAATTACAGAGATGATGAGCAAGGCCAGAAAATCCCTCACTATTTAAGCAACATAAATTCAAAAACCAAGAACTTGTTTGGGATCTATTTTGTTTTTTGTTTTTGTTTTTATTCTCTTTTGTATTTTAAAACATATTTATTTGTGTTTTCAAAAGCAACCACATCTTAATCAAACATCATATTTTGTTTCAAATCAAAATAGAAACAAAACAAAATAAAATTAAAAAATAAAAGTGATCCCAAACAGCTTTTAAGAAAGAAAAGCACCTGCCAAAGTTGTTCATCTGAGTACTCTTCAAGTGGATCAAGGTTCGTGCGCACTGTTCCCCCAAACATGGTTGGATCTTGTGGGATAATGCTCAATTTAGATCTAAGATCATGCAATCCAATGGTTGAGATGTCTAAGCCATCAATATGAATCTGTCCAACAGTTGGATCGATGAT